AACTCTGCTTGTCCTAACCAGCCATTGATCCAAATGATATGAAATGCTTATTTGAAACAGCTATACCCCTCATCCCCCAAAACAGGCGCCTGCCCCATCCTGGAGCTGGCAGTCAACCACCCTCAGGCTTAATTACATTTGTTTTTGCTTGGATTATAATTGAATCACGTAGACCTAGGGCCCCTAGCATATTAGTAGAATTTCTAGTTTCTTTTTAAGCAGAGAAAAATATTTGCTGTGTTATGGAATGATGCAACACACCACCTGCACCCCCCTTTTCAAAATCCCTGATCCACCCATGCCCACAATTCTTTCCCCACCTCATGCCCCCTCACCCCATCCTCCACCCCCACCACATGGACAGCATGACATCCACCACACGGGTCCACAAGATCCCTGGGGCCCTATGGATCACACCACACCCAGAGGCAGAAGGTAGAAGATACAGAAGGACAGAGGGGGATCCCAGAGACCCTGGCACCAACAGCAGGAGCAGTGGGAGGAGTAACGGTTGGGCAGGACCCCACAGACTTGGTTAACTTATTATAGGCCACTGGCTGGACAGCTGTGATCTAGGATACACAAAGACAGGACTCACTAGTGAGATAAGAACAGTACTGGCTACAGAAAAATTAGCTTAGGGAAGAGTAACCCTACTGGAGGCATACCACCTTCAAATTTAATTTGTATTTTCACAAAGAAACAAATCAAAGAGATTGCATCAAAGAGCCTGGATTATTATGTACTGTTTGTGTTTTGCTTTTGCTTGATTTCTTTCTCTATTATTCAAACAGTTAAGTGTGATTATTTGCTTTCCTTTAATCTTGTACCCCCTAGCATAGCAAGAACACTGTGACTAAAACCAGCAGGAGGCACAGCCATAAATTGGAATTAAGACAGAATTAAGATGTAGCCTGCCATTATTCATTAGTAATCTGGGGGAGAAAAGTACTTGATGCTCATACTGGAAAACACCTCTTTCTATCTTACCCAGAGGAAGAGAAGAGAAGTTTATACACTTACCATAAAAACACGAAGTCACTATAATTGGTTGCAAAAACTTCTTTAAAATTCTACTTCTTTATTATTTTTAGCTCATACAATGTTAAGAACTAAAGGAAATAACACAAAAATATTTTGGAGAAAACCTGGTAAGGTGGGGAGATCGGCAAAAAGGAAAGAAAATCTAGCTTTCAAGGTGGGAAACTGAGGGCAAGGAAGGGAGAGAGAGTCAGGAGAAAGAAGCAAGGAAGTAAGAAAGACGAAAAGGATGAAATACAAGATGAGCACATGGCAGCAATTCCTAGCAGTAATTATACATCAGGGAGATAGCAGGATATTAGGTACAAGTGATATCAAAGTCATGGTGAAAAGACCAGTTACTTAGAATGAAAATGACATCACAGGGTCACTGTGATAGGGTCGCTGGAATAGCTATTCTGATGTATTTAATCCACTTGTGAAATACATTAAACTAAACTGCAAAAAGGCATTCATACCATGGAATAAGGACATCCAGATAGGGAGTTACTGTAGAATACCTACTGTATACTGTAGTCAGTCTCTAGCTCATGCAGCTAGGATTAGAAAATCAAGTGAGCTCATAATATAAACATATTCTGTTATTTTTCTTTAAAACAGAATAGAAAAACAGGAGTGAAGTACTTCTGCAGTCTTCATTAAAGGGGAGTTGGACATAAGGTGGGAATGGAATCTCAAGGGAGCATCAAAATGCAGCATTATTCAGCAGTAGTGCTGACACTGTACCTGTCAAATATTGACAATACATTTTTCTAGATGCTTTAAAATAAACACAAGTTTTACAGAAATATATAATGTCAGAAACAGCTTGCTTTACTTCTGTGACCTGTGTAATTTCATGCCATATCTCATTACATCATTTATGTTATATTATGTCAGATTTGACAGAGTGCAATGTGGTATGACACTACCTAAATCAAAGTAACATAATGCAATATGACACATCTGGGCAGGCATGGAAAAAAGTGACTTCTTTTTCAAACTGGTTTGCTTGTCTAATTTCTATAGCATCTTCCCCCTGCCACTATTTACGCACAAAAAAATTTCACACTGACTGATAACCAAATATAACTGCTGCCAAAGCAAAACCCTTTTATATCTATAAAGCTGACTTCAAATTACTTTGTGTACAAAGTGAAGGTTAGCATATATAAACTGCTATTTTGAGAATTTTTTTCATATAATTCAAAACAGAAGCAAGATTAAACAAGAAGACAAAATATGGGGAAGAGTTCAGAAGAAACTTTCTGATACACTTAACCATATTATTATTCAACATTCTAGCATGAAATTGAGAGCACTGCCTTTTCCCACTTCGTGTGTATTCTATAGTCAATGGGCATGTTTACACAAAATGCTACATTGCTATAGCAATGAGCTACTGCACCCTAGTTCATTGCTACAGTGACATAGTGTTGCTGCGCATGAACTGTGACAGCTATGCTACTGCACAGTAGCAATGAACTCGTTGCTACCACACAGTAGCAGCTAAAAATAACCGTATGACAATGGGACCATGCAGTAACATCGGTTACTGCCCAGTCATTCAGTACTTGCTTAAGCAAGTACTAAATGACTGCACAGTAACAACTGTACAGCCCACTGCTAGCGTAGACACGGCCAGAAAGCATTAAATGAATCTGCAGTTAAAAAAAAAATCAAAGAGAAATTACAAGCTATATACCAATAATAGTATAATAATTTTTTCCCATTGTAACACTTAGAAAATGCTTAATTTTTAATGTAACTATATTATTTTATATACTTCATAATTGCTGACACAAATAGCTTTACAAGCCATGTTTTGATCTTACTGCAAAAGCAAAATGTAAAACTCAACTGTTAATACCTTATATTGATGAAGTGTAAAAGATATTTATCTTGCTTAAGAACTTTATTATACAATTAAGCCTAGATGCAAATGTATACCATAGGCATTGCCCTGCTCTGGGGATAATAATGAGCAGTACTGTCTCAGACAAATAGTATCCCTCTGTAACTTCTGGCACACAGACAACAGCATACTCTTGGCATATGCAGCCAGGTTTACTGACAAAGCCCTCCTTTCCCCTCCTCCCTCCCCTCACAATCACTTACCAGTACCTTGAGCACCTATGAGAAAGCCAAGAGAAGCCAGTTGCTGCTTCTCAGAAGAACCTCAGGAATTTCTATTTTGTCTATTATGGTGCAAAGATGCTGATCTCAACCTCTCACCTTAATGAAGTAGCTAGATAAAATCTCGAATTTATTTCATCTTTAAAATGTCTTTTTTACTAGCCTTTTATGTTATTTCAGTTAACATGAAGTTACACAACAAACATCGAACATACAGTGTTTCTAGCCAAATAAAAATGATTTCAGTGAAACTGCAGCTGTTTTCTATTACTTAAGTTCAAAAGACATGTGACTAACAGAACATCAAGAAACCTCCCCAGCTTGAGAAAGTTCCTTTAACTTTGCTCTCAAAGGGCACATCCAGACAATAATGGACATTTGGTTCTCCGGGGACAAATAACGTTGACACACCTTGTGCTACCACTACTTGTCCACAGGGACTGCCTGTGCCATGCAAGCTTTGGTGTGCAGCAAGTCACCTCATGTGGGGTAGGGAAGGATGGGGCCAGTAACCTTACCTGGGATCATGCGGGCCTCCTGGGGCTGCAGCAGTGGTGATTCTGCCATGTGGAGCCTGGCCAACAGATGCAGTGTGGCTCTGGATGGACCAGCATTGCTTTTGCCCTGCCTGTGCATGCACTGCTCCCCTTTTTTTCCCTTGGGTTCTTTTTGACCTCTAGATATTCAGGGGTCGAAAAAACTCACAGAAAAAAAAAGTGGAGCAGCACACACATGGGCAGTGCTCTGTTGTAGCACAGAGAACAGCTGAATGTGCGGTATGTGACGCTGCAGACATGTTCGCAGAACCACATACCTCATGGCCGCACTCATCTGGATGCAGCCAAATGGTTGATCTAGCATTAACTAATGTTACTCTTGCTAGGATAATTACTCATTTTTTTCCTATTATTCATTATTCAAACCTTAAGGATCTTAGCCCTTTTAAACTCTGCTCTCTGCTATGACACAGGGAAACAAAGTATCCTGACCTACAAAACAGTGAAAGTGCCCACTACACCTTGAAGTAAGTAACATGAAAATAACAAGTGGCTTGGGAATTTGACAGCCATTTAAAAACACTCAGAGAAAGCTGAGTGCTTCATCAAGCACTCAGTAGGACCATGCCTTGGAGACTAGTTTATACATATCCTATTGGGAAAAAAATAGAATGAGTATGGGAAATAAGGCATTCTGAGAGACAGAAGGAGGAAGAGGAAAAGACAAAATTCTAGTCCAGATAGTAAGCTTCCCATCATGTTGTCCCTCTCTCCAATGGCCAACTTACTTTTAAATAAGAGGAGAATTCATTAGACATAAAATAATCATGAAAAACACTGCTGACTGTTACTGTTGCAAATTTCAACTATTTTAACTTAATTAAGGCACCTATTGCAGTTTTACCTGTATTTTGGCAATATCGTAGTGTCCAGGTCCTGGAACATTAACATCTGTATTCTGAATAGTAAATGCTAAGTTTCGACTTGTCAAAGAAAGAAATGGAGCATAGCCATCTGCCAAAGGAATAAAAAGACACACATTGGATACATACATCAAATTATCCTTCAACAATCAAAACACTTGGTTCAACTCATTTTTCTACTCTCCTAAAAAGACTAGATATATGTAAGGAGTGATACATGCTTAAAAGTTTATTTTTAAAGAGACTTTTAAAGAGTATTCTCAAAATTAGTCTATTTTGAACCTCAGACAGCTAATGTAAAGTGCTCTAAATCCTCAGGTCTCTGATTGTACTGAATAAATTCATAATTTTTAAGACTGAAAGGGACATTATCATCACTTAGTCTGACCTTTTGTATAATATAGGCCATAGAATTTCACTAAATGATTCTTGTATCAAGTCCTCTGATTTAAATGAACTAGAAATGTATCCAATCTTTACTTGAGGACTGAAAGTTATGTAGAATACAGGAAAGAATTTATTCTTAAGATTTATTTCTTGATTTTAAAACATCCCATGAACTTCCTCAATTCCATTCCCTCACACATGCCATCTCTCTCTACAGAGACCTCTACAAAGCTAGGGTCCTCCTAATTCTTCATACAATATATCCACTGTCAGTGAAGGGGCTGCCTCCTTCCCTGCTGCTTTCATCTGGAACTCCCTTTAGTACCTCTCCAGTTCACTTGTCTTTATGTTACTTTAAATCTTAACCAAAAAGACCTTTCCTTCTTTACCAATATGTCTTAATTTTTCTCTACCACCACCATTATTTATTTCTATAAAATGCTTTGAAATGCACTTTTATATAAAAGATAATCTGAAAATCTGCTCATGTATTTCCTAAATGTTAAATACTGAAGGAACTATTAAGATCTAGTAGTTTGACCTACACCATACCCAGAGGTATTGAATAGTGAGGTTAGTTAGAAATACATCAAATTACAAAAAAAAATGCTTAAAACCATGTTCATTTCTCTGTAAATATAGCAATGCCTAATTACACTTTTATTTTCAGACACGGTTTGCTTTTAGGATTTTCAGCTAGGGTTTTTGCTTTTTGCTTTACTAAAATGCACTGCAGTCTCCCACTTCAGATTCATTAATTAGGCTCCCACTAGGTTTTTTATTTCATTTCTAAGGCAATATAACATGGAGGATGAGCCAAAAAAGAAAGGAAAGGAAAACAGATACTGTATTGCTTTTCTTTACTTTTAATGCCCCTTGCTTGCATTCCTAACATTTTGTTTAGTAAGACCAAGAAAATGGCCTTGGAGGAATAAGACTGATTTGATTTTGAAGGAGATAAAACTGTATATTTAATGAATCTTTTTACAGATAAAATTAGGATACAATAAGTTTTTATCTAGTTGTAATTATCACACTTCTCAGCTTAATTTTTTTATGTTACCTCAGATGAGCACAGCAAAAGTAATATAATGAATTTAGTACTTCTGGAACTACCTTCTGATGAGCCTACACTTGACTGTTACAACAGAATATATCAGCTCTGGAGCCACTTTGGTTTTTATTAGCTGGAGATACGCTGGTAGAACACAGACTATTGTGCATATCTCCTTTAACGTCAAGTTGTATCTGAGGTTTGTATATCTGTCTCTAAGATAGCATTAATTAAACTGGCAGACCAATTCTGTAGCTACAGACAGCTTTCGAGATATGCATATTAAAAAAGAAACCTTGCCTGATATCCCCATACATATATAGCCCCATCTACAGAACTTTGCTCTTGATAAAAACAACAAAAATGAAAAATCAAGACTATCCAGAGAGACTCCATCTCTTTTACTTGATACAAAAGGAATCAAAAATATTTCTATTAAAATATGTCAAAGCCCAGCTGCACACTGAATCCTACAAAAAAACTCACATTTGTGTTAAAGTGGAATAGAGAATTAGATAAGAGGTTTTTCTAAATTCAGCCCCATCATTTTAAAAAACTGTGGTATGTCTGCGGTTTCCACAGAACCTTGCACTGCAGGATTTGCAAGATATGCTCCATACACCCTCTCCAAATTACAGTAGCAGCTCCTCTGACAGAATTCATTGTGTTTTTGCTTACAGGAGTTAATCTGTAAGGAAGAGCTCAAGAGAGCAACCCCAGTTAGTTTACTGATTAAAATTATCATCACTCAATAAGACATAGATCCATATCTATCATGCAGAAGGAGCTGTTGTGTAGAAATATGTGAACTAGTTCAGGTAGCGGAAGAAATCTAGTCCCAGCAGCGCTGAGATCAACATAAGCCATTACCCTGCCAAGAAGTAGTCGGCCGTGTAGACACATCTATGTTATGTGCTACCAGATGAAAAGGAGTGAGCTGCACACAGTTGCAGCTCTGTAACGCAGACAGCTCAATACAGTTTTAATACAACCTCTATTTATACCCCATTTATTGACACCTTATAGAACATAGTTTTTTTACCTGAAACCTCAGGCCTCTTTTTCCCATCCTACTCTGTACATCTCTTAAAGATAGCAAATTACAAGGACATTTTCACAATTTCACAATACCCTATTCTGCAGAGAAGTCCTGAACAGGGCTATAAATTCTGACATTTCTGCCAGCAGTACAGCGTGTGTGACAGCTCAACTATGGACACATTTCCCCTGAAGAACTTAGGGTGAGTGTAAAGTGTTCTGGGAATAGAGGTCACATAACTCCACATACACAGAGGGCAGAGGTTTATTTTTATTCTTACAGCTATATGAATACTTTCAATGAATACCTAGAGGCATACAAAGCTGATTAGCACAGGGCTAGTGGTTCTCAACCTTCTTTTCACTTGAGCCCCCCCCCAACAGATCAGAGGCACCTCTTGGAAAAGGCCGGCTCAGAGTTTCCACCTGATTTTTGCTTCCAGAAAAAGCAGCGGGGTGATGCCTCGGGGGCAGACAACTGTGCCAGGCCAAATGCTTCAGAAAGCCACCAGCTCCTCTCTGAAATGGCTGGCTTTACCCCTCAGGTAGCCACCCTGTCTGAATCTATTCCAGGAGATTTCGTCGCATGATGTAATGACCTTAATGACTTGACGTGAGGAAGGCAACCGCACATGACTATTACATTTGAAAAACCTGCCCGACTACTGCATAAACCCAAGTCGACTTTTAATATTTCTTTGAATGAATGCCCTATCATCTATCTCCCAGGTGACTCTCCACAGTCTCCTGGTGATTTACAGCTAATTCCTGGAGACTTCAGGAGGGTTGGCAACCCTATTTACTCCAGGGCACAAGGCGGTCACACTGCCTGGGGGTAGATTCCCCGGAACGCACCGTCCTAGCAGAGAAGCCCTGGCAGCAGGGCGCCCACAACCTTGTGGGTCCACGCGCCGGATCCCACGTGGGCCCGGGCTGTGGATGCCCTCCGCCTTCCCCTCGGGTGCCCCGCGCAGCCAGGTGCCACCCCCGCCGGGCGCAGGCGGTACCTGTGCTCCGCGGCTCGGCAGGCGGCAGCCGGTAGGAGCCGGGCCCCACATGCGGCTCCGTGCCGCCCGCGGCCCGCCACAGCGCCCGGGCCGCCCGCTCGTACATGCCACCGAGCCCGCGCCGCAGCCGTCACCATGGCAGCGCGGCATTTTCCCCCCCCCTCCCGCTGCCGTCACCATGGCAGCGCGGGCCGCCCAGCCCCGCCCCGCCGCCGTCACCATGGCAGCGCAGCGGCCGCCTTCTGTTTGCCCAGAGCGACTTTCAATGCAAAAGAAACTCTGGCGGGCGGCGCGCGCCGCGCACAAGCCTGCGCACACGTGCGAGGGGGAATATGGGTATGGCACGGCGGGGTGGGCTCTCCCGGACCAGTCCGAAGGGAGGAGACTAAAATAAACCATAAAATGCCTTCTATGTGTATATTATACCTTACAGTATCTGGCATATCTAAATAACATATCTAACGACGCGCCATGGGGCGCGTATTCTGCAGGCAAGGGGTTGTGAGATGTGATCACTTTCATTACACCAGAAAAGAGCTTTTTTCCAGCCACAAAGTTGGTCTAATAAAAGAGATCACATCTCCTCAGAGACCCTTGCCTGTCTTCTCCTTAGACGAACACGGCTACAACCAGAAACCCAGCAGCGTGCATCAGACAGCATATTTTATTGTCATATATTTTATTTAGATATGCTGCCATATAATGGCAATTTATAATAGATATAAATAAAAACACACATGTATAATGTATAATATATGTATGTTATATATATGTATAACATAAAAATATATATATATATAAACAAATATGTATGTAGGGGTGTATATATATGCCATGTGTGCATGCACCATGTTACATATACATACACACACATATATACATACATATATACACACATCTCTCTATATATGTATAAATACACACATATATACATACATGCAATTTATATTATATATATATAATGTATGTATGTATATATGTGTGTGTGTATACACACACACAGAGCAATAATACATGCCATTCATGTATGTTTGTATGTAGACACACTCATAAGACACCTTATACAGCATATTTTATTATTATATATTTTATTAAAGATATGCCATATAAGATAATGTAGACTATATACATGTATAAATATGGCATAGAAGCTATGCCATAGATTAATATATATATAATGTGTATTATATAGGTGTATATATGTATTATGTTATATATATATATATTGCATTATGCAACAATATTTTATGTATTTATATATGCCATGTATGCCACATATAAATGCAAATATGAAATAAGGCACATATAAATAAAATATTTAACAATAAAATATGCCATATAATACATGCCTTATGTAGATACCTATCTGTGTACACACACCCATATAATAATTTATAATACATATATGTATGCATATATAATTATATATTATTATATAGCATAATTTATTGTTTTTAAAGCTATTCTGGCACAATTTCTGAAGTATTAACAATTGTTTCTCTCACACTTTTTTTCCTTTTTTTTGTACGCTTGTGGTCAGAAGACAAAAATGTAGCAATATACATGTTTGCGTGTTTCCCAAGAAATGTACAAGAATGTTTCCATGGTAAATACTACCCTGGAAATTTATTAGTTGAGGTGTTATCAACTCGGTATTAACTGTGGACATACCAAAAAGGCAGAATACATTTGCTATTTCTTTCCAAACTTGGAAAATATTAAAGAAACATTTTATCATTTCATTCAGATAGGAGATTATATTCCAGGTTGTCCCAGTGCTTGAAGGCAAGGAGATGATATGAAAGATTCACCTCATAACAGCGGTACATCCATCTCTCTTCTTCCACATAAGATAACATTTTTGTTAAATAATTTCAGTGATTGAAGGTCTGTTAAAATTCCAAATCTTCATTAATAAAGAGCTAGAGTTTTCTGGGTTTTTCCTTAGCTGTTTCAACTTCCACCCTTAGACTTCCAATTACAGAGAAGTAAGGCTGGAAGGGACCTCAAGAGATCATCTAATCCAATGCAGACTTCAACAAATTTTCACCCAAACTGTGGATTTAGCCCCAAGTCTGCATTATGCCATGTAAAATAAAATATATGACTTTGAATAACATGATAAACTATAACATCGTGCTGTAATGATGCTTGAAGTTCTCAATAGAATGAGGAATGTAACAGTAGATAAGGCAGTCTCAATTAATATGCATGTAGAAAAACATTATTATAAATGTAATATTAAAGATTTATGCACCTGCACCTTTATTTACAGATATTTTTTCTTCATAGTGCAATTGTAGTTTTGGTAAAACTTGAAATAACCAATAGCTTCTAGAAAAGATTTCATTTCAGTACTGCCAAGAAGCCACAAGGTGGTGTATTTTCCCAACTTTGCTAAATCAAATGCAGTGCAGTTGACCTTTGCCCAGTGATTCCTGTGTAAGCATGATGCAGCATAACAGCTTCACATTTTTCTCCTAAATCATAATGAAAACAGATTCATCTAGAAAGACGGTACTATCATTAGTACTTTCACCCTTTTTTTGCTTTTTTTTTGTACGCTCTAATCTGTGGTCAGAAGACAGAAATGTAGCAGTATACATGTTTTTATGTTTCCCTTTCATTAAAATAAATGTGCCCCTTTCATTAAAATCAATTTTTAAACTATAGATAAAGCAGTATTCAAGAATCTATTGCAAGTGGAGATCAACAAGGAATCTGTTGAATAAATAATATAAATAAAATAAATATTGATGGTTTCAATGCATATTACATATTTGGATTTATTTTGATTAACGTGAGGTGTGGTAACTGAACTATGCCTTAAAGTGATGCAATTACCTTGCAGTCACTGGAGAGGAACAGAGCTTATGACTTGAATGTGGTGGGCCTTTGATCCTGATATAAGTGTCTCCTACAGAAACAGCGTGCCCAGCTTATGAAAGGGCATACCCCTCTGGTTAATCCTGAAATAGAATTCATAGATTCCAGACATAGGTTACCATACTTGTTGAGGCATCCCAATTTTGTTAGGCTAGCCATGGCTATGACTCTTTAATATGCAATGCTTGAGCTCAGAACTGGTGAAACTACTTCAATAAATGCCCCAATATATAATTATAATACAGTGAGTTTGGCACTTCCTCTGAAACAAATTATATCAGCTTCTGCAAGAACTGGATGGAACGTAAAACTATTCCAAGTATTTCTTTATATATGAATGATCTGTATTCAACACTGCATATGAATGAAGAAAGATAGCATAGTGCCATATTCTTTTACATACAATATAAACCTTTTCCCCAAAAATCAATTCCCCCCTCTGTGCGCGCACACACACACACAACTGGGACGCATGTCTTAAGTAGGGAATCATAAGTTTTCTTCACTGGAAAGGAAGCAAGCCTGGAAATAAACCTGCCATGCAGCTGCCAGGGTGGGACCCAATTGCATCTAGCTCAGCAAGCTGAAAGGGTGGAGTCTCTAGTGTTTAACCATCTCACAGCCATAGCTATTGGAATTGAAATTTTGTGTCTGGGGCCAAAACAGTAAAATCAATTCCAAATTCTATTGACTGAGCAGAGCTCAATCATTCAAGCCTGTATTGTGCTAACTCCCCCAAGTATCCTCCCTCCCAGACTCTTCAGCCAAAAGAGCACATCACCATACATTGTGAAGCCTAGATCCGTGTTTTTCAACCTTTTTTTGTACCAGGATCCATTTGTAAACATTGATGGCCAGTCCTGACCCAGTGTCCCCAGCCTACCCCCTATCCCCAGGCCCCAGCTCCTCAATGTGAGGAGCAGGGCGGGGGGTGGGGGTGGGGGTGGAGCATGGAGGGGCCCCAAGTGGCCCCTCACAAGCTGGAACTCTGCAAGCCTGCAAGGGGAAAGCCACAGTTTCCCATGTTTTTCTCCTTTAAAGGAGAATCCATTTTTAAAGTTTGTTCACAACCCCTTCATATATTCCCACAGGTTGAGAAATGCTGGCCTAGATTCTCACATTTGGAGGCATTTGTAAATTTTTGCAGGGTTGCCTGCCCACAGTGCAGTGGACAGGTCTCCACTCTCTAACTCAGGGGTAGGCAATTATTTCAGCTGGAGGGGCACTTAACGAGTTTTGGTGAGTTGTCAAGGACCGTACACATAAAATCTTTTTTAAAATGTTATTTAAACACATTATAGATAAAAAATAAATCATATACTAAAAATCAAATATTTACTATAACATATTTTAATTCTATTTCAAAAAGGAATCTTGGTCCTGGTGTGTTCTTTTGAATAGGGCATATGGATGTGATTGCAGAACAGCTCAAAATACATTCTTACTCTTGTATATGGTGTGTGGTGTTGTGTGTGGGAGGGGACATGGGGGGTGAGATGTGTAGGGGGAGGTGTAGGCATGTGTGTGGGGAGTTGCCTGCACTAGGTCCCAGGAACCAGCCAGAGTTGGGGAGGAACCACACCCAGAAACCACACCATGCTCCCGCCTCCACCTGCCAGCCATGGCCCTGGCCAGTACCCACAGCTTCCCAGGGGGACTGCTCCCACCCAGGTTCTGTTTAATTTCTGCCACCTCCAGCAGCTCCTCCTCCTCCTGCCCCTAGTGTGCTGCTTCAGATGGGAGGGAAGCTGCAGCTAGCCAGTTCCTGCCCCAGTGCATGGAGCACCAGCACCAGCTCCTGACCACCTTCTACACACTCTGCCTGCCCAACATGATGAGCAGATACCTGTGGGCAGCTGTGTGGGTGGAAGGCGGCTGGGACCTGGAGCTCCTCACACTGGGGCAGGAGCTGTCCAGCTGCAGCTTGCCCCCCGCCTGGAGCAGCACAGCCAGGGTAGAAGTAAGAGGAGCCACTGGAGGTGGAGGGAGCTGAGCATCCACACTGCTCAGCTCTGGGTTGCAGCCACACCAGGAGCAGCCCTGCTAGGAAGCTGTGCCCACTGGCTGGGGCGAAGGCCATCAGCAGGCACAGGTGGGAGTGCAACACAGCTGCCCTAGCCAAGATCAGGCAGGGCTCGGCCCCAGGAGGAGCACCATGGAGCAGCTGTGGACTGGATCCAATCAATTGGCAGGTGCCCCCTGCAGGCCAGATCCAATCAGTTGGTAGGCTGAATCCAGCCCGCAAGCCGTATTTTGTCCAACCCTGCTCTAACTACACCAAGTCATTCAAGGCCAAGAAGAAAGATATCTGAGCACTGCAGCTTGTTCCTAAAGCATCAATACATTTACAGGAATGTATATAAAGAATTACTTACAGTGAAGAACAAACAGTCTCTCTGCTACCCTTGCAGGGGTCTGAGGCCTAACCTTGTATGACTGAAGAGCCATTCCTCCTTAAAACACAGAGTATCCAGGAAGCATGGCATACCAGGAGACAATCTGTGTGAGACAGCTGCACCGGGAACTTCTTGCCTGCTGTCTTGCCCAGACTATCTCCTGGAAGGTCATTCTTTATCAATCCAAAGTTGGATTAGATGATTTCTTGATGTCCCTTCCAGCCTTACTTCTCTATGAAAACATAAAAAAAAAAAGCTGTCATAAGCATGGTGCTTATTTTATCAGATGCTTTGAAAGGACTGCAGGAAGCAGAGTTGCTAAATAATCATTTAATACATTTAATAATTTAATAAAATTATAATGAATAAGGTCTGCCATATCAGGACATGTATTAAAAATTATATCTAACCCTGAAAATGTAGTATTATCCCAAGAATAACTAACATCAGATTTTGCTTTGATTTAAGAAGTATTTAAGCAGATGAAATTCAAAATAGAAATTCATAATAATTATTTTTAAAATTGAATTTACTTTTCAGAAATTAAATAAAACAGCAGACTAAAAAAATATGGCAGAGACATTGCTTTGTAACTACACAAAGGTGACATTGTACTCACACACACATACAGCAAACAATAACAAGAGAAGATATGAGAGCTAGCAAAAAAACATACATGGATTTCAGTGAAAGACATCTGAATTTTAATACAATAAGTACTGACATTTCCCTAGTCTGATTCAGAGTTTCTAAAAATTGCTTTGTTTAAATTCTAAGGAATGGGTATACCAAAATGAGTAGGACATATTTTGTATTATACATACATTTTTATATGAACAACATATCCCAAATGTTTTTAAGCCAAGAAATTACTCAGTGGTCTTACTTTTTTTTTTATGCACAGCTAAGCCACGTTCCCACAATAAGGAATGTGCGGTTTGCAGTGCCTCAAAGCCTTTTGAAGAGCTGCAAAATGCACGCAGCACACGTTAATCCATTCACCGTGCTGCATATTTGCGGAATGGTGGCAAAATTAGATACTGGGAAAGCCTGGTATCTAAAAAAAATACACTAGAAAAAAGCAACATGGCATACATGGCAGCAGTGTGTACCACCATCACACTGCCAGTTCATATTTATACCGTGGTCTATTATTACTCCCAGGTCTCTTTCTTTTGTGTTTCCAGTCAGTTTGGTGCCACCAAGCCTGTAGGTATGCAGCGGGTTGTTTGTCCCCAGCCAGCGCCACACTCCAGGATCATAGCCACTGCAGTCCTGGGAGGCCCCCAGGATCCTAGGTAAGACTGCTAGGGCCAGCCCAATTGCTGGCTCCAGCCTCCCGTACCCTACCTGGGGCAATTTACCATGTGCCAGAGCACTCATGCAGAGTCACGCCCGGGGACAAATAGCAGTGGTACAAATATGTGCTCCTGCTATTTGTCCCCAGGAAAATAAACGTTCCTTCTCATGGGGATTCATCATACAACTGCTAAAACACAAAAAGCCTTATAGATTGATCGATTGTAAGGCTAGAAGGGACCTAGGAATATCATCGAGTCCAGTCCCCTGCACCGAGCAGAAAAAAAAACTGGGGTCAAGTGACCCCAGCAAGGTGACTGTTCAGTCTCCTCTTGAGACTCCTCTTCCAGAGTAGATGACTAGACCACCTCTGGAGGGAGCATATCCCACAGTCTGGACACCCTGACTGTAAAGAAGTTTTTCCTAATGTTGAGTCGGAAAAGGTTTTCTAGGAGTTTGTGGCCATTACTCCCGGTTTTCCCCAAGGATGTCCTGGTGAACAGTTCTTCACCAAGCCTTTGATGTACGCCCCTAATATAGCAGTAAGCTGCTACCAAGTCCCCTCTCAGCCTTCTCTTTTTCAGGCTGAAGAGTCCCAGGTCCCTCAGCCTTTCCTCGTATGACTTGCCATGCAAGTCTCTGATCATACAAGTGGATCTTCTCTAGACTCTCAAGTTTGTCCACAACCTTGTTAAATGCGGCGCCCAGAACTGGACGCAGTACTCCAGCTGTGGTCTCACCAGTAGAGCGGAAGAATTACTTCCTTGGTTTTGCTGGAGATGCATCGATTAATGCATGCCAGAGTATTATTTACCCTACTGGCTACAGCATCACACTGCCAGTTCATATTTATACTGTGGCCTATTATTACTCCCAGGTCTCTTTCTTTTGTGTTGCCAGTCAGTTTGGTGCCACCAAGCCTGTAGGTATGCAGCCGGTTGTTTGTCCCCAGATGGAGCACTTTACATTTCTCAATGTTGAATTTCATCTGGTTCCGATCTACCCAACTTGCTAGCCTGTCTAGGTCCACCTGTATCTGTAGCCTATCTTCAAGCATGATCACACTCCCCCATAATTTGGTATCGCCCACGAACTTGGCCAGTGAGCTCTTCACCCCCACATCCAAGTCACTGATAATTTTTTAGGATAAAACTTAAAATAAGTTTTTTAAAGGTATTTGCTAAAGCTGCAAATAGGTTTGTAAGGGAATTGTTAAAGGTATCTAGGTACCTAATGGTCATATTTTTCCATTCCATATACATAAAGAGTAAAACTTTCCACAATGTATTGGTCCCTTTGGGGGGGGCAGGGGGATAAAAAGTGTTTTAAGAAATTAAAAAAAAATAGTTGGGGTTTTTTTCAGTTCACTGTAATAATAAAATTTACCTTATTCCCTCACATATATTTCCCCCAAAATTCAGGTGCTAGAAACCAGGGTGTACTTTATAATTGAAGAAATATAGTAACACCAATTTCTGCCACATAAGCCTCTGCCAGGAAAGCAAAAGTAAAGTTATACATGCTGCACACATTAGCCACATTAAAACAATGCATCTACAATAACTCAGTACAACATTTATGAGCAAAAACAATCCTTTAAATAACTTCATCTACATAGCTGCGCATAACAGTCTGTCTATTGTTTGGATAAGGGAGTAGATAGGAGAATACAACCACTAATGTAGGTATAGTCTTAGAGTAATATAACTTTACATATTTTTAAACTATTTTTGTTTTGTTAAAAATAGCTAGCCTTCTCCCTTTCGAGAAGAGAATCATCTTTTTTATTTAAAATCCACAGTCCTATAAATCATAGAAGGCAGAAAATTATTCACATAATTCCAAGAGAGATTAAAGCAGTTCTGGAAAACAAATATATTACTTAATTTTGTTAGCCACATTAAAACAATGTACTTACAATAAGAGTCATTATTATGGCTGGATTATACTATTGCAGTCATACAAACACAGTTTTTAGTTTAGCTTTTATGGTGTTAGAGGCCAGCTTGATAAATATTTAATAGAGAGAAAAAATAAAAAAGTAAATTACAACCTCATTTACAGAAGTGTAAATGAGGAGTAACTATTTTGAAGTCAAAGATCATTCTAGATTAACACTCCTATAAATGAAATGAGAATCTAGCTTTAGCAGTTGCAAGGGATTTGTAACGGGATAGAGAACTGTTCATGGTTCTAAGCAGGTCCAGCTGTATAGTTAAGAAAAATTAACTCTCTTTTGACAACTGTTTGGTGACTCATGTTAATTAAGATAGTAGTGGTCTTACTCCAGCTGCTAGAGAACAGCTGTCCATTTCAGTAAAACCGCTAATATAAATTGTCAGTGAGACAAGCTGGTGGTCTCAACAAACAGACCAAGGATCAAATAATGAGGATGACTGAACAGGATTTAGGACTGCCTTCTTTATTTGGTGCCACTACCAAAGCCCTTTAGTACTATATATCACTGGTGCTCAGACTATCTGGCCCTGTGGGCCAGATAAATGATCCAGGGTTGGTCCACACACTTGATCCAGCATGGGGTTGATGCACCAGATCCTGCCACAGAAATGGTCTCTATCACCAGAATTTTATAACCAGTTGAAAGTGTAAGCTTTGACTAGAGACGATAATTTTCATGATGGAAAAAAGGGAGACAGTTTCTCTTTTAAGTGTTTGGGTTCCCAGCTATATAGGCCATTGCTTAGATCCTGTGCAATAATTTGGAACTGCGTATAGAGCTGTGGGATAGGGTTCTAGAAAACAATATTGTGCGGTTATAAGAGCTTGTCTCAGCCAATACACAGGTGATGCATTCTGTTAGGGGCTGGATCTCCAGTGCCTTGTAGTCTGAGCATTCATTTACCTCTCCTCACAGTGGATGTAAAACACTATGAATAGTTCAAAATAGTTGCGTCTGACAGCCACTCTGCACAGGTATTAATCACTATTCAAATCAGGCATTTTTTAAGTCTCTTAAAAAGAGCTGATGTGAGGACATCAGTATCAACCAAAGCAAGCTGGATTCAAAAGGCTATTTACCACTCCCGAATAATTCTGCTGAACAAGTGTGTGCTAATGCCATAGCAGAGGCGAACAATATCTGCCATTGTCACAATCACAGCAAAAGTTTATAAAAATCAGTCTGACCCAGTGTGTTTTCTATCACTTGAGCGCTATCTGCCTTCTGTACTGCTTCTTTATTCAAAGATCAGCTGTCAAGCATGGTGACCTATAATGTCAGTGACAGGATGGAAGTGTGTAAGGCCATTCTATCAATATTTGTGAATAAGTTGTTCTAATAGTCTGCTAAAGCTGCAGCTGATATTCCATTTCACTGGGAATTCACATTTTGACAGATGTCTGTCCTGTACAATTATACTGAAATTTGTTTTTAGTCCCAAGCTCATTATACCACATTTGGGAAAAGTGATATGGAGACTAAAAGACTGGTACACTTCTCGCTTTGTTGGTGGCTCTGTGCAGCCAGTGTCTTGTTTCTATGGTTACCATGAAGCCACACCAAAATGCATGCATGCCACAAAGAGCTGCAATTCCTAAAGCAACCAGCAAGAGGTTAAGGTGGAGATCCCTGTTGCATACATGGTTTTCAAGACCTGTACAGATCAGTCTGCCATGACTAGAGTTACAAGAAAGAGGAGAGGCAAAGAGCCAAAAGGCACATGACGGAAAGAGAGAGACAAGAACCCAAAAGAGAGAAGGAAGAAGGAAAGGGAATGAATTATCTTCATCAGTAACATACTTACTAACTGTGCTTTGTTCTATAAAGACATATGTATATCGGAATAAGGAAAGCAGAACTTACATAACTTGTTTCTTTAAGTCCCTCCTTCCCCTCAGTGCTGGATAACTTTTTTGGTTTAAAAACAGCATTGGCTAATAAACAGTAAGGCTTTTCATCAAAAACCACTTGCCAACACCCTTTCAGATACTTGATAGTGTGCCAGCTGTATTGTATGTTCAGAGACAAACAAGTAATGTAGGCATTTCAAATGCTGGGCCCTATAGGCTCCAGGGCAGGCATTCGCCAACTTTCTCATTATGTGGGCTCCACTTCAATAGGCTCATTTTCCTAGGGACACCTCCACCTACTATTCATGACTGCCAGATCTTCCTGTCCCAGTTGCTGATTTATAACATTCTTGTGGGCAATCAGAGTTACTGCTTGCATGGAAAAGTAATATTTTGGGAACATAGTATATTTTTAGCTTCTTTTAATGCAAATTAACAACTGGAAAAAAGAGGAGAGCCATTACAAAGTAATCACTGAGTTCACTGTAAATATGCTATAGATGAAAGTTTAAGAAAGTCCTCCCTAGAAGCTCTGTTTTTCTTCACTTTTGTGTGTTTCCATGATGTACACATTTAGTCATAAAATGTACTAAATGTACATTTTGTCATAAAATAATCCTTATTGGAACTGCCAGGAGATAGCAACTGCAAACAACATACATAGAAGTGTAGCCACTAATGCTGTTAGGGAGAATCTAGTGGTACACTAAAAGGGCACCCTTGCTACTCAAGATATTCTTTCAGTTCTAATGTTCCCTGCCTGGCTGGGGCACAGTGTGCCTCAAAACAGGGAACCAAGCAGCACTGAGCTGGCTGCTCCCTTGTATCCACATGTCTCAGTGCGGGGGCTTCACTGCAAAGCCCCCAGCCCAGGGCTGCCTGCTTCCCCATCTTGAGGCCCCCTGTGCCCCAGCCAGCCAAGGAGTGGCTGACTGGGGCACACGGTACCTCAGCATGGAGGCTCCA